GGGTGTCTTGGGGGGTCCTGGGGGGAATTTGGGGGGTCCCTGGGGGGGATTTGGGGGGTCCTGGGAGTGGGTGGGGCAGGTTGGGGTTTTGGGAGGGATTTGGGGGGTCCTGGGGAGGTTTAGGGGGTATTTAAAGAGGTTTGAGAGCGACTGGGGCAGATTGGGGGGGGGCTATAAAAGGGTTTGGGGGGATTTTGGGGCAGGTTTTGGGGTGCAATGGGGGGCTTTGGGGGTCTGTGAAGGTTTTGGGGTATTTGGGGGTTCTTGGAGGGGGTTCGGGGGGTCCCGCAGCAGTTTTTGGGGTGCAGAGGGAAGGGTTTGGGGTCTGATGGGGGATTTGGGGTCCTGCGGTAGTTTTTGGGGTGCAATGGGGGGTTTGGAGGTCTGTGAAGGTTTTTGGGGTTCAATGGGTCTCTTTTTGGGTCCCTGATGGTTTTGGGGGTCTGTGGTTATTTGGGGGTTCTTGGGGGGGGATTTGGGGTCACGCAGCAATTTTTGAGGGTGCAGTGGGAAGGGTTTGGGGTCTGATGGGGAATTTGGGGTCTGTGAAGGTTTTGGGGTTCAATGGAAGGTTTTGGGGATCTGTGGCTATTTGGGGGTTCCAGGGGGGGTTTTGGGGAGTTTGGGGGTGCCCCCCTGACCCTTTTCCCCCCCCCCCAGAGGACGCCTTCCCCTACGAGGCTGTTTTTGGGGGTCGCCTGGCGGGGCTTTGAGGGTCTGGGAAGGTTTTGGGGGTTTTGGGGGTCCCGTGGCAGTTTTTGGGGTGCAATGGGAGACTTTGGAGGTCTGTGAAGTTTTTTGGGGTTCAAGGGAGGGCTTTGGGGCTTTGGGAAGGTTTTGGGGTATTTGGGGGTTCCGGGGGAGCGTTCTGTGGTCCCGCGGCAGTTTTTGGGGTGCAGTGGAGGACTTTGGGGTCTGTGAAGGTTTTAGGGTTCAATGGAGGGTTTGGGGGGTCTGTGAAAGTTTTGGGGGGGTTCGGGGGTCCCGTGACCACCTGGAGGTGCAATGGGGGGGTTTGGGGTCTGATGGGGGCCTTTGGGATCTGTGACGTTTTTTGGGGTTCAATGGGGGGCTTTGGGGTCTGTGAGGGTTTTAGGGGTCCGTGGCTATTTGGGGGTTCCGGGGGGAGTTCGGGGGGTTTGGGGGTGCCCCCCTGACCCTTTTATCCCCCCCAGAGGACGCCTTCCCCTACGAGGCAGTTTTTGGGGGGTCGGGTGGAGGGGCTTTGGGGTCTGTGAGGGTTTTAGGGATCCGTGGCTATTTGGGAGTTCCGGGGGGAGTTTTGGGGCTCCTGTGACAGTTTTTGGGGTGCAATGGAGGGGTTTGAGGGTCCCTGGAGATTTTGGGGGTATTTGGGGGTTCTTGGGGGGTGTTTGGGGATCCTGCAGCAATCCAGGGATACAATGGAGGGCTTTGGGGTCTGATGGGGAATTTGGGGTCTGTGAAGATTTTGGGGTTCAATGGAAGGTTTTGGGGATCTGTGGCTATTTGGGGGTTTCCGGGGGGGTTCGGGGGTCCCGTGGCCACCCAGGGGTGCCCCCCTGACCCTTTTTTGCCCCCCCTCAGAGGACGCCTTCCCCTACGAGGCAGTTTTCGGGGGTCGCCTGGCGGGGCTGCGTCGCTCCCACACCTACCGGGAGTTCACGGCCGTGGGGCGCCGGGCCCGGGACCCCCCAACTGCCCTTTTGGGGACCCCCCCCCGCCTGGTGCAGCTCTGGTGCTCCAACGACTACCTGGGCATGAGCCGACACCCCGAGGTGCTGCGGGCGGCCAGGTGGGCACCACAAAATCCCAGAAATACCCCCCAAAATTACCTGAAGAATTTGAAGTATCCCAATCCCCCAAAACCCCTGAAAACCCCCCAAAATTACCTGAATATTCTGAAATATTCCAATGGTACAATGCCCTGAAACCCTCTCAAAACCCCCCAAATATTCTGAAATATCCCAATCCCTCAATGCCCCAAAACCCCTTCAAATCCCCTTAAATACCCCAATCCCCCAAAATCCCTTATACACCCCAAAATCCTCGAAATCCCCTGAAATACCCCAAAATCTCTTAAACCCCCCAAAATCCCCCAAATATCCCGATCACGCAACTCCCCAAAATCCCCCCAAAATCACCCAAATCCCCTTAAATATCCCGATCCCCCCAACCCTCAAAATTCCCTAAATCCCCTGAAATACCCCCCCAAATCCCCTAAATCCCCCAAAATAACCCCCCAAAAATCTCCCAAATCTTCCAAAATAACCCAACATCTCCAACCCCCTAAAATCCCTCAAAACTCTCCCAAATCACCCCCAAATCTCCCCCAAATCCTAAGATACACCAATCCCCAAAATCCTCCAAAACCCCTTAAAACCCTCCCAAAATCCCCTAAATCCCCTTCAATACCCCGACCCCCCAAAATACCCCCAACACCCCCCGAATCTGTCCCAAATCCCCTTCAAATCCCCCCGACCTCCCCCAAACCCTCTTTAAATCCCCTTTAAACCCCCTTTAAAAATCCCCTTTAAATCCTCTTCAAACCTGCTTTAAATCCTCTTTATAATCCCTTTAAATTCCTTTTAAATCCCCTTTATATCCTCTTTAAAACCCCCTTAAAAACCTCTTTAAATCCCTTTTATATCCCCTTTAAACCCCCTTTAAATCCCCTTTAAATCTTCTCCAATCCCCTTTAACCCCACCCAATCCACCCCAAATCTCCCCAAATCCCCTTTAAACCCCCAAATCCCCCCAAATCCCCTCTCTGTGCCCCCCAGGGCGGCTCTGGGTGCCCACAGCCTGGGCGCGGGGGGCACCTGGAACATCGGGGGCACGGCCCCTTGAAACCCCCCAAAATCCCCCCAAATCCCCTTGGAATCCCCCTCAAATCCCCCCAAATCCCCTTTAAATCCCCTTTAAATCCCCTTTAAATCCCCTTTAAATCCCCTTTAAATCGCCTCCAACCCCTCAAATCCTTCTCAAATCCCCCTCAACTCTCCCCAAATCCCCTTTAAATCCCCTTTAACCACCCCAAATCCCCCTAAACCTCCCCCAAACCCCCTTTAAATCTTCTGTAAGTCCCCTTTAAACCCCCCCAAATCCCCTTTAAATCCCTCCAAATTCCCCCTAATCCCCTTTAAATCCCCCCAAATTCCCTCTCTATGCCCCCCTGACCCCATTTGTGCCCCCAGGGCGGCTCTGGGTGCCCACGGTCTGGGCGCGGGGGGCACCCGGAACATCGGGGGCACGTCCCCCCTGCACGGGGCCCTGGAGCGGGCGCTGGCGCGGCTGCACCGCCAACCCCGGGCGCTGCTCTTCTCCTCCTGCTTCGCCGCCAACGACACCGCCCTGGCCACGCTGGCCAGGCTCCTGCCGGGTAAGGGGACACCAACATCCCAAAAATGTGATGGGAACCCCAAAGAACCCCAAAAAACCCAATGGAAACCCCCAAAAAACCTGTTGGGAACCTCAAAGAACCTCAAAAAATTCATGGGAACCCCAAAAAATACCAGGGAACACCAAAAAACGTGATGGGAACTCAAAAAACCTGATGAGAATTCAAAAAATGTGATGGGAACCCCAAAAAACCTGATGGGAACCCCCAAAAAATAGCAGGGAACCCTAAAAAACCTGATGGGAACCCAAAAAAATCTCATGGGAACCCCAAAAAACCTGATGGGAACCCCCAAAATGACCCCTGGAATCCCCTCTTCTCCTCCTGCTTCGCC